GAATTTTATCTTAAAATAAAGGTAAGTGCAAAATGCTGCAAACCTAAAATAAGTTTGTTTTTGTCTAATGATTTGGACTCTCTAATATACGGGTACAATTATCCAAAGTCTGGATACCAATTAAGGCCTTTTACCTTAAACTCATACATGTGGTCATAGATAAGAGTTTAAGTCTCTTGAAAACAGTAGTACTGTATGGAGAATCAGGTTAAAAATAGTCATATAATATCCTGAAATACACAAATAAGAAATGACACAAAAATGATCTGAGGGGCTAAATACTAACATTGACTGTGCTAGCAGTTCAAAATGTTGTCACGTAAATACATAAATGGCAAAGGAAACAAGCAAACAAATCCTATTTTGCAGCGGAGAAAATAAAATTATAGAGAAAATTGCACTGTATTACAAAGAAGTATCTTTCTACCTGTATATTTGGTTGCAAAACATTCTGTAGTAACAATTTTACGGGAAAGTTGTTTCCTTCTATTCTTAAGATCAGCAGTCTCAACAGGTCATTATTCAATTTATAAAGTGGGGAAGTCTCCTTTGAAAAAATATCTCCTGACTTCCCTCACCTTCACCCTCATATCTACTTTTAGGAAAAGATCACATAATCTGAAAATAGGCTAGTAAATCTGTTTAAGATGCTTTATTTTTGTTGATGAATGTATCTGAAAATAAGCCTGACCCTGAATCGCACAAAAAATTTCAGCACATCGCAAACATTCAGTGTGTCTGCGTGCTGTTATGTGAAAACTATCCCAGGTGCTCTCTTGACAGAAAAACCTAATAAATCCTGAAATATGAGGTCTTGTACCATCTCTTAAGAAGATTAAAAAAAAAAAATCTTAAAAATGTTGAGAATGCTAGCAAGGGGGTCAACAAAGCCTATATATAAAACCTTTTCCTCAGCATATTTTTATGTATCAAACCTTTTCCTCTTTCTCCAGAGCAACCACCAACAACAAAGTACGGGAGCAGGTACTACTGGAACTGAGTTTTGTAAACTCAGACCTGCAGATCTTAAAGGAGGAATTGGAAGGACTTAATATCTCAGTAGAAGTTTATCAAAATACAGAGTAAGTATAAAGCTAAGTTGCTCAATTATTAACAGATGTTCTGTTTACCCTAGGAAACAAAATTGTTTCTAGATGAATGTGAATGCTGGACAATAACTAAGTGAAAGAACAGAGAGCTTGATAGGAAGAGAACATATTTGATGGTAGATTTGTTTACTAAGGGTTAGTCTGCATATTTGTCTTTCACTTGGGAAAGGTATGTACCACTAATCCTTAGATACCGAGTTCCTTTGTGGAGGAAAGTATTGTGAGAATTGAAAGCTCTTGGGGCTATATGGGGAGACACATGACACCTAGCAGAATTTCCAGTACTAGAATGGCTAACTGGTTCAGTGCATTCTGGAGTAAGCAAATGTAATAATGAAATATCTGTTCTCAAATGCAGCGCATACAACAGTCCTCTCTTTATCTGAAAAATTGAAGTACAACACTGATTTGGAGTTCAAAGCAGACTTGAGGCAATCTTTAAAGCCTTTAAAGACTGTTCTCAGGTGTTAACTTCCAGGTGGACTGCAAGGAATTCTTAATGTAGAGGGACTAAGCACATTTCCAGTGGGGTATCTTTCAACTGAATGCTGACCTGCTGTGAAACATCTAAATTTCATTTTTCTCAAAAAGAAACTTGTGCTAAAGTTCCTGCCTTTTACCCCCATGGCAAACTCTGACAATGGTTTGATGCAAAAATGGTTTTTGTTCAAGATTTTACCAGTCTTCATAGATGCATGTGAGCATGGAGAGGAGTATGGAAGTTATGGCAGTGGAAATGAGAGCTAGTCTGCAGAAGTACTGTTCCTTCTTCTAGCTAAAGAATATTTTAAATATTTGGTTTCTCAATGAAGGGTGAGCAGTAGGTCGGGCCCCAAGGCAGGTTGAAGCTTTGTGGTTGGACGGTAGCATGCTTTTTATTCTCTCCTGATCCTACTCCCCCAATCTGTTTTGAATGGTGTTTTACCTTGCTGATGCTGTTCATTCTAAGCTCTAAATACTTTTTATATTCCATCAGCGAAAATAATTCGTTCCCTCTGTAACTGCTCTCCAGCCTTTAATAGCAAATAGCTATTAATAGTGTCTCTCTGAATCTATTGTGCATATAGTCATCAACATGAGGTCACACACACACATTACTGGGTTACACTGTATTGTGTGACAGCCATCTGAAGGGCTGGCCTTCCCAGTACTTGCACACAGCTCAGCCGGATTGAGAAGCATGATGCTATTTCTACTCAGTTCGGAAATCCAGGATCACCTCCCTAACAGTTCAGTGCCCCCATGATGTTGACTCCATGGGTGTGGCACCATAGAAACTTTAAAAATAGAAGCTCAGTTCCTTTGATTGACAAATGCTGGTGTCTACAGGGACTGTGAGTGGTACTAGAATTCATTAAATAAGTAAGATAGGAGTTCTTCTGCATGTGTCTCACTTCCTTTTGGGGAAAGTTTCAATATAATCTGTTATAAAAGTGTTGTGGCTTCTTCTAAAAGCCTCATCAGAAATCAGATCATTTGTACTACCTGCAGTGGTATTTTGGCTCTGTATCCTGGAAATCCTTTTCCCACTAGCAGAGTCACTTTCTGGATCGTGTCACCCAGTTTAAGGACCCTTCCTCTGCTAAGGAAGCTGCATTCCTACTCCCAACTTCCTGAGATGGAAATTTCACCAGTAAGAAAGTGACTTTGCCGGCTTTGCTGATAAGACCATAAATGGATCATACCTGTAGGATTTTGTATTTGGTAACGGAACACTCTAAACAATGATTAGACGGTCAATCAGATGTTTTCAGGAAAAAAAAAATAGATAAAGCTTATAATTGCCCAATATTGTTCCATTAAACATATTCAAAAAACTATGTATCTGGAAGCGATTCTGGTATTTCTTTTTTTATAATTGGGTAATATGCTTAGTGGAAGAATGTTCTACATGTAGAACATGTAGCTTTTGAAGGATAAACAGTGCTCTTTAATTCATAATTGTCTTATTAGCTAGTGTTTACTAATATTATCTGGGCTTAAGTCTGTCATACAGATATGTATTTTCTTGAGGATGATACTTTTTTTAAGTCACAGTTCTCATCCTTACTGCCCTTTGATATTTTAAAGGTTGACTTCTTCAGAGGTTAACGCCTAATATTGTCTAGAACCTAAGTAGTTCTCAGACTTCCTACTCTTAGACCTTTCACTGTTAAAGTTGGTATACTTTGGCCCTGCTTTTTCCTGTGTTAGACACACATCACTTCTACATATGAAACAATCGGTAGCATGGAAAATACTGATGATAACCACTGATAATTACCGTAGCTCTTACCATGGCAGATCTCCTAGCAGCTATGGAGCTCTTTTCTGTCCATATAACTTGTGCAGGTGTATAAAGTTTGAGCTAAATTGCAGTAAGTCAGCCTTTGGAGAGTCTCCTTTCCTTTCCTTGAAGGAAAAAAAAAAAAGCACATGCAAGTAGTTTTCTTCACTCTCTTCCAGAGGAGTATCAGGCTATTAAGCAGACTTTCTTGGGCAGGAAGGAACTATGTGCCCTCTACCTGAACAATGAATAGCATACAAACTTCCTGTTATCAAATGAAACAAAGGTAATTATCTATCAACAGACAAACAGAAAACAAATATTTATGAGTATTTTTGTTTTGTTGTTTTGTTTTGGTTTTTTTTCCCCACAGAGAAACTTTCAGCATTCCATTGGTACCTCTTGGCCTGAAGGAAACCAAAGAAGTAGACTTTACACTCCCCCTCAAGGTAAATTTCAGAGACACATTTCAGAATGAATAGTTAACAGAAATAACTTCAATTTCGTATTTGTTGAAAGAAGCAGAAGTAATTTATGTAGAAATTATTGTTTGTTATACTTGCCCTAAAACTGAGAACACAATGTGTTAAAAATTAACCATCAATTATTTGGGTCATTGCTCATATCTACCTAGGCCAAGGAGTCAGAAGATAAGAAATACCACTTTGGAGATAGAAGATTTAAACCAAAGAGAATAAAAATTCCTTCTACAGTTTTTGGTTCCAATATGACTATTGATTACTAGTTGTAAGTGTGAAAGGAAGTAGTAGTGAAGGTTTTACTCAGCGTAACACGGTGATACTCCAACTTGCACTACCCAAGGTAGCTCAGTTGGAAACCACAGTGGCAGCATTAACACTGCTTCTTTGTTGGTTAATAAACTCTGTTGGCTATTTGAGCCACCTTCTGTATTTTTTTGATTATTGTGTATCGTGCAATGTAGATTTTATCTCATAGCAAACCATCTGATATCACTGTAGCATATGTCTCTGCTTTTACTTCTGTAGGTTAATCTCCATGGTCAGATTATGGCACCCCTTTATGCCATTGCAGCTTTGTTAATTTAAGTTGAATTGCCCTAATACAGCTGACAAGAATTTGGCAGTTGCCTCCTGTTAACAAGTTTTTATTGTCACTTGATTCCCTTGTTATTTTAGCTAACAGGGTTCATTTGTCCGTTTCAAAACCATGAAGTGTTGTTGTTTTAAAACCCAATGGAGTTGATGTAACAGGTGTTTGGTTCCTTTACATCAGACTGAATTTTTTTGTCTCAGATATCAAATCAAATTATTAGTTCTATTGTCTTTTTGTAGTCTCATTGCTATATGTTACTGTTGACTGGAAGGGAATAGACACCATGCAAATCACAACTGAATCAATTTTGTACTGTTTGCAACTGCAGAAAGAAAAAAAAAGTTTTAGATATTCCAATTTTGTACCTTTTTTTTTTTTAGGACTTTATTTTGGAACATTATAGTGAAGACAGTTCTGAGTATGAAGATGAAATAGCAGATCTCATGGATCTCAGACAAGTAAGTTCATGTAAGGCATACCGTGAGATCTTTTAATAAGCAGTTGTAAATAATAACAATTGTATGGAATCAGAATATGCCACTATAACTTACCATATTCTTACTGACTTCATTTCTGAGAAGTGAAACATGAATCTCCATTGTCCAAGAGCTTTACAATCTGAGTAAAGAACAAATGAAACAAAGGATGAATTTATGCAAAGTGATTGAGCTATTGACACAACTTTGTAAATCTAAGATTTGTGTTACTTTTTAAAGTATTTTAAATTTAGCAGGAAGAGTGTTGAAATTAATTCATCTGGCAAAATACTGTAGTAGAATGGTAGTTATTTCTAACTATTTTTTGTTTCCTGTATTATACTAGAAACATAAACTTTCTTTGTAGTTTTCATAAAATACTTACAATCTTTATTTAATTAACTCTGAGACTTGCCAAACAGATCCTCTTTGCTTCTTTAAAGGTTACATGCTGCTCTGGTGCAGCTGAAAATCTCTTATTTGGAATGCATCCATATGGCCTTAAGCTTACTGTTCTCAGATTCCACACATTTCTATGATATGCAAAAGTCCAAAGGAAGCAGAGCTTTGTCCTTGGTGTTTTGGTATTCCTGTAACTTAACAGAATACACCTTATTTTTATCTATTGTATTTTAAGGCCTGCCGCACTCCTAGCCGAGATGAAGCTGGCATTGAGATGTTGATAAGCTATTTCCTTCAACTTGGTTATGTAGAAAACAGATTTTTCCCACCCAGCAGGCACATGGGAGTTTTATTTACATGGTAAGTATGTAGTTCATGTTTGCCCCCCCCCCCCCCCTTTTTTTTTTTTTGCACACTGTTAATCATTAACTGTCTTCTGTTTAATTTGAAGCATGTCAGTGTGTTTCTCCCCTCCACTCCCTGTGGTGTTTTTTTTTGGTTGGTTGGTTGGTTGTTTTTTTTTTTGTTTTGTTTTGTTTTTTTCATGTTAAGGGTAAACCTGAATACAATACACTCTTTTCATGCTTAGAGTAAAACTATTGCCTAGATTGTGATTTGGGCTGTAGGTTACTGCAAGGGAAAAGAGAGACAAAATAATCTTCATTTTGGACAACTACAGATGTTACCTGGACTCTGAACCTTGTTGCATGAAGCAGGTGGGGAATGAGTCAGACCTTAATTCCCTTCCTTCAATTTGTTAAGAGGTGTATTTGGGCCAGAAGAGAGCAGGAGCAACTTAATTTATTATAATGGAGTGTTTACTAGATCTGTGAGCAAAGTTTGATGCTGAATTTAGAATTTTTATGATGAAAAAAGATGACTACCACACAGCCAAGAGGAACTGTTGAATTTCTTGACCACGCCAATAGTTGATCTTTGGCAACATCTAAGTGCAAGAACATAGCAGCATGTATGGATTCTTCCCCCATATATTCTCAAGTTCTGTCATGTTTTATAGTTGCTTTTGTGTTAGATCTAATATGCTTATGGATGCACTGCTGTAAATAAATCCTGCTGAAAACTAAGTCTCAAATGAGGTCGTTCTCTGGCTTGCAGCACTTAAATTGTCTTCACAATACATAATGGTACTTCTGTTCACCTTCATTTTCACTGTAGCAGAACAATTATTAAGAATTCCATTCCCTTTTGGAAAAACAGAATGAAAATATCTGCTGTTTCAATGGACTCTGCTAATCTTAACACTTCTAATAATTCTTTCCCAAGGTATGATTCCTTCACAGGTGTCCCTGTGTGTCAACAAAATCTGTTGCTTGAAAAAGCTAGTATTTTATTCAACATTGGAGCCCTCTACACCCAGATTGGAACAAGATGCAATCGTCAGACCCAGGCTGGACTTGAAAATGCTGTTGATGCTTTTCAGAGAGCTGCAGGTACAAATTTAAAAGTATTGGGAAGGTCTTGATGCAAATGTTCCTAATCTCATCCTGACATCTGCATTTCCCACTGAATTCATTATGCAAAAAAGGAGGAATAGGGAAATCCAAGAAGCCTAGTGAAGAGCTGACGTGAAGCTTTAATTCAAAACTTGGAACTGTCCTCTGAACATGCAGATAAAGACAGTGAATACTGTGGTTAATGATTAATGAACTGCAGTTCAAAGGTCCAGGCAATAGCCCTAATGTTAACTGCTTCATTGTTCATTTATTTCACCAACATAGCTGGTTTTACTTCAGTGATATTACACTGCTGTAAAGTCTGTACAAGAAACGATTTAAAGATTGGATAAAGGGCTTAAAACCTAGTTTTCCATATGGTCTCCTCAAAATTAATATTACTGTGTTCTCTGCTGAAATTTGCAATTCACTGGAAGTTACGTACCTATTTTCCATAGATTCCAAAGGCAAACAGGTTTAAAATAATCAATCTCTATCCCAAGTGAAGAAAAATACAAATTCTAATAAAGGGAATTATATAGCTTGAACTAACATGGTATAGCAGCTCTTGTTTTGTTGTTTTTTTCTAAGTGGACTTTCTATTTTTTTGTAAATGTCATCTGTGCTACACATAATGCTTAAAGGCATGACCTATATAATCAATATGTACTGTAAGATGTATGTCTGCACTAACAATCTGTGGCTATTTGTTTCCACTGTATGGGTAGCTTTAGCAGCTACAAACTGTGGACCATGGAGTTGGATTGTCATAAAACCCCTCTCTTGAATACACAGATATCAAAAAAAAAGATAGCATTTCTTCATCCAGTTATTAAATAGTTTTTCAACCTTTGTATTTCATCTAAAAGAAATTTCAATAATTGAGAAATTTCTCCCTTTTTCTGCTGCCGTTTCTATTTTGCAAATAAAAATCAGTGCTTTTCACTTCAATGTATTTGCAGAACAGAATTACTTGACAAATTGAAACGCATCATTTGCTACCACAGTACCTTTGCAGGGCCCCAGAGCAACGTGCTCAGGAGGCATTTCATTGTACCTCTGCGCATGGCTCCGTAACACTGTTCATTATGTTGGTAGAGAGATGATATAGAGCATGTATTAACCATTTCTCTGTGCTGAATGGAAAATGTTGCACAGAGTCTATACTCAACAAAGCTCTCAGTGTCTATATGCTTATTGCATAAGCAGAAATTTGTTGAGAACAAAAAAAAAAAAATAGATAACTTCCCCTCACCCCCCGTACTTTCAGTTTGGCACTCCATCAGTACTTAGGATGTGCCTGGAAAGTTTGGGGTTGGGTTTTTTTGGTGCAAAAAGGCAGAGAATGCCAATTCAAATTTGTGTAAGGGCATAGCAATAAGTTAAAAGATACAGGTGTAACAGAGAAAATGAAAAATCTCAGAAACTGGTAGTATGAAAATAAAGCACAACATGGACAGAACTGAATGTAGTGGCAAGAAGTAAGATTACACAAGCTGGGATACTCAAAAAGCAGAGGTCTCTCATTACACTTTTGTAGTATTATCAGCAATTAGCAGGCCAGTAGAACTCACTAAACCAGTTGGATGACGTGCATGCTGAAGGTTACGCTTCCATCTGTGAAACTGTTACTTAATATTTGCACTACAGTTAGTGTTTGTTTTTAATTTGATAAATTATAGAAATGATTCATATGTTGGTGGAACCAAATGTCTAAAGCAGAATCTAATTTTACCCTGTTAAATATACTGTTCTAGTTTACTTGTACAGATGGAACTGAGCTTTCATTGGGAGACACAGTGCAATTAGCAGCATCTGAAAAGGAGATTCATAATTAATTAAGATTATATGTTTGTGTGTTTTCTTCTATTCAAGAGTTCTACTGTCACCTCCTTACAGTTGTGTAGATTTCATTTTCTTCCTTGTCCTTTGTATAATCCCTGGTTTATCACTCTCATATACAAGTTACATTCAGTTCAGCACAGTGTTATGGTCAATCACAAGACCTGCTATAAGCAAATCTGAAGGTAGTGCCCTTAAAATCTGGAACTTCTGTTGTTCCTCTGAATTGTGATTTTGAGAACTGTGCCTGGAAATGTTTGATGAGAATGTAAAGTAAAACCTGTAGGTCAGTTTAATTTCATGTGTACTAAGAATCTCTTCAGATTGCTGTAGTGCAATACTAGAAAGTATGCTTTCAATCTTAATTATTATGATCCATGCTAGAAATAAGTTAACTTGTTTCTCTCTCTGTAATGCTGACAAAATCATCTTGTAATTTCAGGAGTCCTAAGCTACTTAAAGGAGACCTTTACTCACACACCAAGTTATGATATGAGCCCAGCTATGCTGAATGTACTAGTAAAAATGATGCTTGCACAAGCTCAAGAGTGTGTTTTTGAGCAAATTGGTCTTCCTGGAATACGCAATGAGTTTTTCACACTGGTGAAAATGACACAGGAAGTTGCCAAGGTAAAGTATGAGACTTAAAACTTAGTCTTTAAAATAACTGTTTCTGGTACTGTATTACTAGCTACAGCCTCTAGTAACATTAACTGAATTTATTAAACCTAAATGTTAACAACCATTACTGAAAACCAAAAGTAACAAGGCACCGCTCGCAAGCTACAACAAGAATCACAACCTTTCAGAAGATTAAAATGCAAATAGCTGCAATTTAAATACCATTATTTTAGAACTGCTATGATTTATTTTTTGTGTGTTTTTTTTTTTTGTTGTTTTGTTTTGTTTTTTAATTCATAACTCATGAAGTTTAATATAAACATGCTGGAACACTTGGGCAGTGAACTTGCTGAAGGTTTTTTACAAGCTATTTATCATATTGCTCTGCACTGGAGGTTATGCAAACCTAAAAAGCCTAAGTCCAAAAAAGGCTTAAATTGTAACTGGGGGAAGGGCCCTGATGGTTCCACAGTAGAAAAATGGGCAAAGCCTTTCCTACCAACCCTATAAAGCCACACTGACTTATCTGTAGAATTGATCAGCCTGTAGGGGATTTTTGGATTCTGTCAGGTGGAGTTGTTTGATCCATTAAAACAGCATTCACTGCTTGCAAAGCTATTTTATTTCCTCTGCATAAAGGATAGTAGCCCTGTTTTAACTAAACCATACAAATTTAAGGCTTGATAAGACTCCACAGTTTCACAAGTGAAGCACAGACCTACTGTATAAATAATATGCTTCACCCTTTTTCTCAGATGAATTAACCCAGTGAGGTGTATTTGTAAATTAAAAGCCCTTTATTATATGGTGTTTTTATTGAACTCTGAAGCCATATAAATTGACTGACTTAGCCCATCTGTTATTGCACAAAATTGATTTACTTTTCCTGTAAGGGTGTTGTGGTTTGGGCCTGATGGGCAACCAACCACCGCAGCTAATCACCCTCCCTTCCCCCTCCCCACCTGGGAATGGGGGAGGGGATTAGAGGGGTGAAGGGAGACTTGCAGGCTGAGATAAGAACAGTTTAATAATGGCAATAAAACGAGAACAATAACGATGATGGGGGGAAAACAAAAAGAAATATATAAACAGGCAATGTACAGCGTAATTGCTCACCACCCACTAACCAATACCCAGCCCGT